GAAATGAGAAGGTTGGGTTTTCTTATATAATGAGAAGGAGAGAAGAAGAAGGTGACTCTACGATCGGCGTAGTGGGGAAGGAGGCGCCGTCTAAACAGTTCCCTGATTGGGACCTATTTTGGTTCCAGTCGGGGTACACTTTTTGGTCCAACTTTCTCCAAATTGAAATCCGTTTGCACCGTTGCGATCAGACAGTCGAGCTCTATCCAACGATATACTTTTCATAATTATTTGTAATACTTTTTCCGACATCATATTTTTGGGTATTTGACTTTAACAGAGTCAAAATTGGTTTAATTGACCTTTCTCATAAAAGGTTCTCTCATTTAATTCATATCAATTATTCTCATGATTTATTTCAATAAATCATTACAAAGTTCACATCATAATTAATTTATTTATTCTTGATTTGGGTCTGTACTCAGGTTCCCAATCAAGACCACACAAATAGTCCACATATTGGATTTATCTCGATTAGACTTATCCAGATTTTGATATTGGATATTAAAAAATATTTCATATCGGCCCAAAGCCCAATAATAATCAAAACAAATTTGTTTAATCGAATAATTATTTAATAATAATTCTAGGGTATGTTTCGGGGCGTTACAATATATATATATATATATATATATATATATATATATATATATATATAACCTATTCACGGTGTTGTATTACTTCAGTGTTAAAATCTAGAGAGCCATACACCTAACACTGAGCTAAAAAATGAAGACTTCATTGTCCAGTGCTAGAGATGGGGGGAAAAGAAAGAGAATCCATACAAACATAGGTACACAAGCTTCAATTCACACAATGTATAATAATTTGTGTCTTTCATTTAGTAAACATATTTCAAAAGTTCCCTATATTCATGCATTCTGTTACTAAGCATAGTTATTTAGGTATATATATTGAAAAGATTAAGTTTAAATAAGCACAGAGGGGTTGTCATTCAAGACATGAATAGATTTGGATTTAGCTTACTGGTAGAAACAATATAACAACTTACTTGCCTTCCTTAACATTATTGCTTGGGATAAATCTGGGAAACATGAAAGAGTAATTGTTAATTCGCAAGTTAGGTTTTCAGAATTTCTTCAAATTAATTAAAAATAAGAGTTTATAATTACACTCACTTTCATCACGAGGAGTACTTTAAAAAGGATCAAACCTGAAATAAAAAGTAAAAGCATTTAGAGGTTTGTGTATTCAGTAATTTTTATCTAACAGATTATATTTAAAAAATACGGATTATATGCAGCTCATATGAAATTACTTACATTTTTACTTTACGTTATTTCAGTAAAAATGCCCCTGTAAAAAAAATAAAAGTATTATTGTTGGGTAGATTGTCACAATGTGAACAATTCAGATTAACAAAATATGAGTTACAAAGAACAACAAAAACCATATAACATACCGGGTTTCAAGTATAAATGTAGGTTCTGTAGCCGTAAAAAATTTAATGAAATGATAATAATTGAAAAATCAGATCACATGAAGCAGTTTTAGTTTCCTGAATAATGTTATTCAGATATAGAAGTAGGGACTATGAATGCGGTTTTAATGTGGGAGAGTATATAAAATTTAAAATATCAGAGATCTGTATTCCTTTTACAAGGAAAAATTATTAAAATTAAAATAGCAGGGATCTGTATTAGTTTTAAATTAAAAATTAAAATATTTTTCATGTATTCGTATTTCAACGAAAAAAATTATGGTGCATGGATCTGTAAACTAATGAATCATGATTCAAAAGTGTAGGAAATAACTTCATCTCATACAGATCAACGCAAAATCGTAGAAGAAATGTATGAAATTCAAAGTCATCGAAAATCTTCATGAAAAATTGAAGATTTTTAAGTATGTATGACATATCAATTCCATTATATGTTTCGAAAAAAGATATGAGATAGGATTTCAAATCTGCGTAAGAAAAACCAAAAAAATACGAAATAATATTTCGGTGCATGGATCTGTAAACTAATGAATCATGATTCAAAGTAAACAAAATAACATCATCTCATATAGATCTACGCAAAATCGTAGAAAAAATATATGAACTTCAAAGTCATCGAAAATCTTAAAGAAAAATTGAAGATTTTAAAGTATGTATGTATAATCAATTCCATTATATGTTTCCGAAAAATAAAAAACATGAGATAGTATATCAAATCTACGTGAGAAAAACGAAAACAAATTGCAGAAAAAACAAAAAAAAATCAAAACAGAACAAGGAAGAAATACATACAAAGAAGAACAATCTAAAAGTATGACATGAGGACTTGATCCTTCGATTTCTTAGGCAGAAAGAGGATTAAAATCCGGTTAAATAATATAAAGAAATGAGAGAGGAAGATAAGGTAGCGGAACACAGCAGCGGATGAGAGTGGGAGAAAGTGAGAAACGTGAGAAAGTACGGGGTATTTAGTAAGGCAATTAGGTTAGTAGGAAAGGTTTTGGGCTGGGCCAGGTTAAAATGAGACATGGGAATTGGGGGAATTGCTTTTATTGGACCAGAATACTTGTGAATTTTACAAATTTCAAAGGTTTAAAAAAAGTAAAAACTTTAAATGCTAATCATTATTTTTTTTTTATGAATTGTTTTTTTTTCAAAATAATAATATTATTACAGTTACAAATGTACAAAGTACGATGCACTTGTGTTCTTCTCAAATTCAAAGCCCCTTAAGTTTATCTTATGTTCAAATGAATTGCCTTAATGACATTACAAACAGTTAGTTCTTTACGTACTTCTACCTTCGTCCCTAATTATTTGTAAAAATTAAATAATTTTTTTTCATTTTTTTACCTCTGGCGCAACTTAATTTAAAATTTTGTACTCCCCCGTCATAAAACTAAATTCTCATTTGACTTTTCATGGTCTACAATGCGGCACCTTGGCCCTTTAATATCTCTATTTTATTTCAATATATATTATCAAAATAATATATTTCAAAACTATCTTTTACAATAAATCTATTCATACTAAATTTATATGGAAATTCAATATTTTTTTCGGTAATATGTAGTCAAAGTTTATAAACTTTGAGTTCAAAAGTCAAAATGGAAAATTAGTTTCAGGACGGAGGGGGTATATATATATGTATATAGAAATTGATATAATATTTTAATAATAATCTACTATAATAAATCTAATACAAAAAAATTTTGTTTCAATTTCTAATTATTTTTAATATTGGGGGAGGTAAAGTTTGCCGTTATTAGTACAAAAAACAAATATGGGAAATACTCGGGGACTTATGGAGTATCTTTTATAAGTATGAATAATACTCCCTCCGTCTTAAAATTGATTTCTAAGTTTGACGTTTGTAGTTAAACTTTTTAAACTTTGACCGTATATTATGGAAATATATTATTTTGATAAAATATATGTAGAAATTAAGATATTGAAGCTCATACATCTATTTATTTAAAATATGTTGTGTCAAACTCAATGAAAATATAATTTCTTATTTGTCGTTTTGATTTAGTTGATTGTACGAGGCAACTTACGCCACAGAAGAACTCGAAACAGTCTAAAAAGGACTGTCATCAGACATCCATGAATAATTTACTAGAAGTGCCTGTGTTATACAGTTCTGAAAAGTTTAAAGGTTTGTTATTACATTATGCACATTGTTTAGACTACACTTGATTGTTGCTTAACTTGATGTAATTCTCACCATGTATGTCGTTACATAACAAACTTATTCATTTTAAAAACAGCTTTGGTAATTTGAGTAATATTTACATTTTGAGTTTTTCCTAAACAGATAAGTTATTGGGGAGATATCGTGTAGTGAGGAACCTTAATAATTCCTTTGCTGAGTGTTCGGAACCTTCGTCGTCTAGAAATCCTGAACGCCCCCATGTTGCAAATACAAACTTCGAAGGTTCATAATTATTTTGTTTAATATATACTCAATTAAAACATAATAATCTATTCATAAATAGATTATTTCGTCTTATAGTCCTAATTTAACGTTATGTGATTTTACTTTGTTGGACAATCACTATTCAATGAAGTTGATGATCAAGGCCATATTGAAACAAGAACAACAT